CTGCCCCGCCCCGCCCCGCCCCGCCCCGCCACGCCGATGACATTTCATATATAACCTGCGCAGGTGCGGCTGCCGGCCGCCGCCGTGCCCCGACCGACACGACGACGTCACTTTCGCGTTCGTCTGTCCGGAATGCCGACCCTCGTTACCGGCAGAGGCGGTTTTATTATTTGTCATTTGGCGCAGCAATTAAGTCATTCCTCTCCCCCCGCTGCTGCCGATGCGATGCGTCGTCGTGGTCCCTCTACACACACACACCGGCCGCCTCGCGCGACCCGACCTCGGCCCGGGCGGGGCGCGGGACCAGCCGGACCCGAAACGGCGCGCGGCCGGAGGATTTCACTCCTCGGCTGATAAACGAATCGTAAAACACACTCATTAATCAGCAAGGCAAAGCAGCAGCAGCGGCGGTGGCGGGACCCGCTCCCTCCGCTAATAACCTTCCCGTCGGATCCGGAGCAGCGGACCGGCCGGGGTGCGGCAAGGCGTGGTCGGCGCGCTGCTCCTGGCGCCGGGCGTCCAGTCACTGAGGGGACCCCTGTCGCCGCAGCGCGGGAGAGTGAGTGACGCTCTTGTTGTGTGGAAAGGGTTCGGGTGAAACCAACAGCGATCCCTCGGGATGGCCTAAGGGATGGTCTAGATTCTACGCACGGAGCTTGATGGCGCCTGCGAGACTCGGGGTAGGCCACCCCGCAGCACATGCATGAACTGCAGGCAAGATGTGGCCTACCCATCAGGCGCTTGTGGCGGCTGATGAGCTCGGCAGTTCGTAAGCAGCTCGTCAGTCCCTCACCCCGTCGCTTGGCGCTTCACACCGCCTTTACCCTACCCCAAGCCCACCTGCTCGACCCCTGCCCCCAGCGTCACGCCGATGACTGCTCCAGGCCTCGTCTGGGCCGGGCCGCGGCGGTGCCGCCGTTGATAGGGAATCAGAGCTGGCTCGGTGCCGAGCCAGGCGCGCGAGCCCCACCAGGCAGGGAACGTGTTTTTCAGGTTTCGTTTTCTTCCTTTCCGTCGTCAGTAAATGAATCTATCAGAAAGTGACAAACTTAATCTCAAGTTACGCCCTAGTGAAAACGGACTAATTTATCTCGAAGTTAACTAATAATTGAAGTTAATTAATGCAGTATTAAGACTTGTTAACTGTCTGTTCACTTTAAAAAAAACCTATAACTGGCAATGACCAGGCAATTCCTCTCATTTTGAAAGATTGATCATCAAATAAGAGGTCCAGGTCCAATTTAGTTTATTAGTTAAATTTACATCAGTCAAAACAAATTAACCTTACTTCAATTCCTGAATTACTCCATTAGTAAAACCTCTCTGAAACCGTTTTACGGGGGAGGGGGGTCGCCCTGTCGCAGTCGCAATCTTTTGCGCGTTTGAGAGAGAGAGAGAGAGAGAGAGAGAGGGAGAGAGAGAGAGAGAGAGAGGGAGAGAGAGAGAGAGAGAGAGATAGGGGAGAGAGGCGTGGTCGTGCGTCGGCGGTGCTGGGTTATCTCTGGCGTGCGTCGCGGCGCAGACGTGGTCAGGCATAAGTTAGGACCCGGACATCTCGTTTTGGGGGAGGACTTTGGTGCGCTTTCCCTTCACGTTCGCCGCAACCACAGTACTGCATTTACATTTTAAAAACGACCACTCAATGTAAAGAACCAATGAGATATTAACAGTATTTCAAACAGAAGTGCAAGGGGAAAAGGAACCTGCGTCCACGTAACTGCCGGCTTGTTAAAATGTCATGGAGGTGTGGATTTTTTTGCTCTACCCTCTCAAATGTGGGCACTGTGATTTACATCTGTTTTTAGGATTTACGAACAAAAATCCGCGAGCAATGCTGTAAGATTCTGATCAGAAATTGCTAAATTAAGAAAATTATCGGCAT